TCTTGGAGAAGTACTTTGCATTTTGATGGAGCAAAGCATAGCCCAAAACGACTGACAGCCAGTGCTAATCGGTTCAGTGCTGTTTGGCATGTTTGGGAGCCGTCACAGATTAGGGCAATATCGTCTACATACTCCAAGTCAAGAAGTCGCTCACCAGGGAGTAGCTCCACACCTTCTAGGTCGTGTCCAGCGAACGCTGTTTCCATGACTTCATCAATAGCGAAGTTGAAGAGGAAAGGTGACAGCGGGCATCCTTGTCTCACACCGCTGGTGATACTGAAGGGTGGCGAGAGTTTGCCATAAACCCTCACCCTGCCCGAACTATGTGCGTACAGCGCTTTGATAATGTTTACATATTTATCAGGCACACCTTTCCTCAACAGACAGTTCCAAAGGGCACATCGATCGACTGAGTCGAAGGCACCTTTTATGTCAAGAAACACGACAACGGTGGGATCAACCGCCTTCGATTCCCATGATCTGCAATCAAGATTAGAACGTGAGAGGCTCCCTTTAATCATGTCCTGGTAACGTAACTTTGGTTTCCCCACGTGCCGCTTCCCAATACTCAGCTGACCGTATAAAAGTTGTTTCGGTATCCGCGCCGAATCCATACGGCTCACATGACCGAGCCATCTCAGGTGTCGCAGTAAAAGTATGCCGTCCACTGCATACATCCCACTTCGGCGCAACACTTCCGTGTCTGCGACTCTGGCGCCCCAACCGATCCGCAAAATTCGTCGCAGACACTGCTGATGGAACCGCTCGAGATATCGCACATCCCGACGGTACATCGTCCACGTTTCACTGCCGTATAGAAGAACGGACAGTACCATGGATTTGTACACCATCAGCTTTGTGCCAATGCTAAGCTGATGGTTGTTCCACACTCGGTACTCAAGCTTCCCGAATGCCGCTGCCGCCTTCGACACGCGAATACGCAACTCAACATGTAGCTGCTGAGCAGTCGATATCACACTCCCAAGGTAGCAAAAGCGGGAGGTGGTTTCCAATACTTCAGCACCAATGCTGATTTGCGGCAATATTGAAGATTGCACCTCCGGTGAAGGCTGAAACAGACAGACAGTTTTGCTTGTGTTGGTGGTGAGCCCGAATTTGGCCGCTGTCAAAGCCAAAGCACTAGTCATGTCCTGCAACTCATCCGCGCTGTGTGAAAACAACGCACAGTCGTCAGCAAACAGCAACATACGGATAGTTGTCTCACAGACTAGAGTTCTCGCACCGAAACGACGGATGTTCAGCAACCCACCATCAATACAGTGCTCCACACGAACACCGTAAGCACAAGCCGCATCCAAAGCACAAGACAACATTGCATGAAGATAGATATTAAACAGGGCAGGAGCTAAGACACAGCCTTGCTTCACACCAGAGACAACTGCAAAGTCATCCGAGGTCTCTCCACTCAGCTGCACCCTCGCTCGCATACCACTGTGCAGACATTCAATTTAATTTACAAACTTACGCGGGCAACCAAACTTACCTAACATATATATATATATATATATATATATATATATATATATATATATATATATGCGATATCTCGAGCGGTTCCATCAACAGTGTTTGCGACGCATTTTGCGCATCAGTTGGGGCGACAGAGTTGTAGACACGGAAGTGTTGCGACAAAGTGGAAGGTATGCAGTAGACTGCATACTTTTTCTGAGACACCTGAGGTGAGCCGTATGGATTCAACGCGGATACCGAAACAAGTATTATATGATCAGCTGAGTATTGGGAAGCAGCACGTGGGGAAACCAAAGTTACGTTACCAGGACATGATTAAAGGGAGCCTCTCACGTTCTAATCTTGATTGCAGATCATGAGAATCGAAGGCGGTTGATCGGCGTGCATGGCGCGATCTAATCACGAAGCAAGTTGCTGAAGTGCGGGAGGAAGACCTCATGCATGCAGAGAAGAAGCGGCAAGTGCGGAAGCGGCAAGCACTGATGGGTTGTTCTCCATCGACGTCGAGCGCATGGTGCTGTAGAACATGCGGTCGCGAGTGTCTGAGTCAGGCGGGCCTAGTGAGCCATGATCGACGCCCCTCGGGACCACTACCGAAGCGACGACGGGTCCTGCAGAGAACATAGGCAGAACCGGTGCAGCGTTTGTAAGTACGCTGCATTCGATTTACTAACCGCGTGCTTGCATGCTAAGTCTCATTATTTCAGGTGGTGGGTTTACAATTTTGTCCTAATGCTTTCCTTTCTCAAATAAATGTCTACATGTACTCACTTGCATTAACTTGCACACTTCGCTTAAGCCAATTGTAGTCGATTTGCATAACATTTTCTTGTTCGTGGCATTTCCGTAAAGTATACTTTCTGACCTCGTGAACTTATCTAGGATTCGTTTGTAAACAACTTATTTCATATGCTCATTAATTTAAGGTTTATGTCACCGTTTCCTTATGCATTACTCGATTTATTTTCTTTGTATCTTTCTCTCAAGTGATTGACTGTTGCTTCATATCCCCTGTGTGGCTGCGCTTGTTGTGCATGTTGACAAGGTGCTTATCTGTCTATTACCCACTACCTTGTCCATACTGGCTCCAGGAGACAGTTGGTCGTTGCTGGAGAGGACGGAGTGCACGGTTCTTGTGGCCGTGTTAGGATCAAAGAGTGGTTCCATGCGCTCAGTGTGGAGCGGACTACAGTCCAGCCACTGCCTTGGGTATGCTTGATTCCCAAATACAGGGTGCTTGTGTTCGTCTGTGAAGGAGTGTGGGCCAGCTCCGTTGATGAAACGTGGCTCCCATCCACATGCCTCCCGGTCTTATTCCCTCGGGTTTACACTGGATATGGGGTGTGGTTGGAGCTGTGGGTGGTGCAGCGCAAATCGCCCATGGTCCCCCTGTAGGCGCAGGCGTCCTATGGCTGGCCACGGTGACAGTCAAATCCGTGGATCGGCGACGATGGCGTGGGGGTATCAAGAGGCCGGTTGCCCATGTGCACGAGTAATCACTACTGCATGCGGATAAAACGTTGGTTGAGAAAGCGAGAAACGCCGACGGTGGGTAGCGCATCGACGTCGAGCGAAATGTGCTGTAGCACATACGGTCGCGGGTGTCTGAGCCAAGCTGATTTAGCAAGCCACATTGGACCAACATCTAATGAGGAAGAATAAGCTAAATAGGTAGTCATCATCAGCACAGCGCTTGGCTGCGGCCGATTCAATTTACTAGGCCAGCCAAATCAGGCGGATGATGTGCTTCGTGTGTTATATCAATGTTGCGTCTGGTCTGTACGTGTGCCTACATGTTGAGTCTCTTGCATTCCATGTATTGGCTGTTGATTACTATCCCCGGTGTGAGTGCGCTTGATTTGAATATGGACAAAGTGCCAACCAGTCTCACCCTCCACGATTACTTGCTCCAGAAAACTATTAATCAATGCTGGGGAAACCGAGTGCACGGTCTTCGTATCCGTGCTGGGTACATCATCATCATCATCATCAACAGCAGTACATCAGACATTTGAACTGATGCTTCGCTGCCATACAACCATGAAGACCTATGAAATAAAGAATAAGAAGAGGGAGAGAAGAGGGACTTACCTGAAAACCTTAATGCCATAAGCAAACATTCAGGGGTCAAGGCACCTACACCTTGTGTTAACAACATACCGTCACAAACAGCTGGCTATCGTGCAAAGATAAGGAGTGGATTCGTGTATCGTGTGAAGCTGGCTACGGTCCAGCCACCGCCATGTGTACGTCTGGTATGCATGGTTCCTCAGCCACACTGACTAGAAATGTTGCTGGTGTACATGTTGCTAGAGTGTGGACCGGCTCCGTTGATGAAATGTGGTTCCCATCCACATGCCTCCCGGACTTATTTCTGCGGGTTTACACTGGATATGGGGCGTGTGGGTGGAGCCGTGGGTGGTGATGCGCAAGTCTTCCATGGTTTCTGTGTAGATGCAGGCGTCCTGTGACTGTTCCCATGGGAACCACAGTGATAGGTAAATCTAGAACCCGGTGCTGCCCCCATATATGATTTTGTACAGGTGTGTAGGACGTAAAATATCAACCGTCTACACAGTAGACATAGAGCCATCACTGTGCGACGAGTGAGGCACGCAACAACTTACTAACGCAGATGTTTAACACAGAAGACAGTCCTCCCGGTTAGGTTCACGAGCATGCAACTTTTTTGAAGCTTCACTGTATACATATTCACACAAGTTCGCAACCGTCTACTGTGGCCGTATATGCGGTACTCATCTTCTTTCCCCAAGGTCTTCGGACTGTCTGGCGTTCCGTTCATCAACATTCCAATTCACCGGCATCGAGTATGCTGGAGAACAAGGGTGCACCAACTGAGTCTGTGATGAACCGCCTAATTCGGTCCGCTCTAAGATTATAATAGGTAGCCACAGATGCATCAAAGTGCTAATGTCTAATGCACCGGTTTCAGAGATAGGGTAGACATCAATTTTAAGGCAGTATAGGGAAAGACGGAATGAAGGCTGACAATTAATATGACGCAGTTCATGGACGGGGGGAGTTTAAGGTAAGAGGGTGAAGCTCAAGGTGTGGTGGAAAACATATTGGCTACTGATGCAGCCAGTAAAGTCCGAATTGGTTTCTTATCAACAAAACTGGGTGAAATCATGTAAAATAAAGAGAAAGGAACTGCTAAGAGGCACAAGACAAAAGATAATTGGGTAGTTGAGGATTTCTGACTGGATGACCTATTCTTGAAGTTAGACCCGATGAGATCAATATAAGCAGAATCCAGCATCTAACAGACTGATACCATGTTATAAGATAAGGACTATGGTTAGCCAAAATCGATTAGTGAAATTATATCCCACCTATAAGAATCCGAGCAAATTGGGATGAACAGCGTAAAACAAATGAACAAAAGGTAGGCTCTATTAGCATTGGAGACAATTTGGCCAAGCGCCAAATCACTGCACATACAGGCTTTCTCATGGAAATATTTAAGACAAAAAAGAACAAATCAAAACTCACTTAATAATATCAACATGGGAATTAAGAGCGTGGGTTTGGACATTTTTTATGACAGCATCTCCGGAACTACTGCTTGGAGTCGCCAGAACAGCAACCATTAAATTTGTTGAGCCGGAGGGAGAGAAAGAAGCACCGACCACAACGATATGATCCGAAGGGGATTTAGCACTCATCACACGCACACGCTGCGGAATATCTGGCCACCTGAAAGGAAATGAGCACAAGTGCAAATCAGGCTAGTGTGTAAAATTCACAAGTGATTTATGGTCAGACACTTGACCAATGTAGAAAAAGTTCGGGGTGTTGAAAGCAAAGGAAGTAACGGAGGGAAAGTAAAACCCATGGAAATTATCTATATGATTGTGATGATTAGACAGCTTAGTCCTTGAAATGATGCGAAACAACCAGTGATGAGGACAATTACGGTGGCATGCGTCAAACATGATCTGGGTACATAATCAAAGAGTGAAAGGTTCGGCATTCTAGCGAGTAAAGCATGGCGCGTCGAATCGTGCTAGTATACAACAACTCCAACGTGGCCAATCGCTGACCTTTCACACCAAGACTGTTTCAAGACTGGTCGTCACCGTGTTCCCAGTGAAGGCACTCAATTAAACGTCAATGAGTAGTAAAAATTGGCTTCTGAAGGCGTGCAAATTGGGCTCTCCGCAATAAAACCTTTAATCGACCGAAAAAGCTCCTGAGTTGGCTATGGACGATAGTCTGCATTAACAAGTAACAAGGGAAACTGATTTAAGCACATTTGACGACCGGGTCAAGTGAACTAAGAGAACGTAGTGGGGATATTATTTGAAGTCGAAAACACTAGCAAAGATACATCCGCCAGGCGACTCGGCCATCGCTTGTGATTCGATGGCAAAACGTCGTCAAAATGATTAATTAAACAATATCTGTCCCAATATGGCGTAAGAAGTTCAAACAGCGAGGAACCGATGTCTCAGGCTTAAACCGCTGTTAGTTGATGCCGATCCAAAAGCTGCCCGGAGGTGCCTTTGAGAAATGGTGTTTCAACTCCTGCGACCCAAATTTACCAACTGATGAACAAGACAGTTATGACCAAAGTAAACCGTACAGAAATTCGCAGCAATGAATTAGCGCTGCACGCCGGTAAACGCACGAAGTAGGGTAAGGACAATACAGTCAAATTCTAGAATATGAGCTCAGAATTAGAAGACAAAGGTCAAAGAAAGATGAGTGCTACAGAAAGTAGCGTTACTTCACTCACAGTTTTAGACCGATTTCGGAGATGCGCTCTCCTGCGTTTACTCGAAAAGAGAGCAGCTTCGTTGGATAAACAAGAAACACTATATTTAGAGAACAGGGAGCGAATGCGTAAACATACCACGGTTTCCGTCACATAAAATATCCGAGCTGGAAGATGAAAAATGCGAAAAGGCACGACTTTACCTAGTTATTTCACCAGGATACTCAAAGGCTTTCTCCCATAGAAGAAATCCCAGATCAGAGTCCCAGGCGCGCAACAGAGAATGCCTTGAGGAAACAGAAAAAACAACTATGACCAAAATTGTCGCTCAACGTGGGGGAACACACCATTGCTGCATAGAACGAAGTGGTTAAGTGTCTCGGCGCTCTCAAGTACTTGTCTCCAGGCTGGAAATAGAAAATAACAAATTTACCAACCAATTGACCCGTTTTTTCTTGATAATGAGGCGATGACGTTCTGTCGTGATCCCAAAAAGTAGTTAGATAAGCCAGATGTGAAATCATATTGAACAAATGAGATCTTTCCAAGGAACCGCTGATTCCTGTTTGAATGACATAAATCACGCTATTCCAACTAACCAATCAAGAATGCCAATCTGGTCCTCATATATAGCACAAGCTAGTCCCACAAGAAATGGGAAGACAAAAATGGAACCAGAAGGCATGGCAGATGGAGAGACGGTCTGCCGTACATGTGACCTTCGAGTTAGGTCAAGTTCAAGTTCGTATTCAAGTTCAAATGCAAACGGAATTGGAACGATAGGATTATCCCGTAAGTGTTGTTTCTTCGAAGGGACGTTGAACCAGGAGTTGGCGGACTTTGAAATACTGATGGACCTAAAACAAAGCCCGCAGTCAACTGACTTACAATTTCGGATAGCGACGCCCTTTCCAAGTTCTCGGATTTTGTGAAGGATTTGCTTTCGATTTATCGAGTGAGAAGAGCTATCCGTGTTGTTAGCTATGACGTCAAAATGCCTGAGTTGCAGTAAAGGTGTGACATCGCGTTCCAAGGCCGTACAGTGCTCTGAGTGTGACGGATGGCTGCATATTGCCTGCTGCGACATTTGTCCTGAACTCTATGAGTCCCTGCAACGATATACTACATCGGCTATCACTGTTTCCTGTCGCAGCTGCCGTACTTCATTAAACAGTCGACGCCTTCACGCCGGACTGCCAGTCCTGAGCCCTCATTCTACGCCAACGAAGTTCGAAGCTTCCACTGCGTTGGACTCACTTGTTTCATTACCTTTTTCGTCCGCACCCAATTCCGGCTCAGCTACCCCCACGGGTAAACGAAGCCGTGTCCCATCTGCTCCCTCATCAGATCTTTTGACACACGCCTTGCCCAGTGAGCCCACGACTGAGACATACGCTGCCGTGGTGAGGAAAACTCCCACTGTCCCAATGGGTCAGGCGAAGTCTAAGTCCAAACCCAAGAAAACTGATTCCCAGACCCAAATGAAATCTCTTCTCAACAAAGTCAACGAGTTGGAAAAGTTGATCAAGGACAGTACGTCACCACAGCCTCAGATCTCTGGCCGCGCTCTACCACCCTCTCGTGAAAGATGCCTTATCATTGTGAACGCCCCAGAATCCACCAAGCACACCTCTGCAGAAAGGATGCTGGATGACCAAGGGTTCCTTGAACGAATGATTTCTATTTTATTCGATGAAGGTGAATTAGGTATAAACATTATCTCTGCCTTCCGCCTGGGCAGGAAGCAAGAGGATCCTTCCAAGGTACGCCCCCTCAAGATCGTATGCCAAAGCGAAGAGGAATGCCGACGCATCCTCCGACGAACCCCACGTTTGAAAGGTGAGCCTTTTTACGTCCTGAGAGATCTTTCTCCGGAAGATCGTATTAAGATGAAAACAGCCGTTGATGAGCTCCGGTCCCGCCGAGCAAATGGTGAGACAGACCTCCACATTGTGGATTTTCGTGTAATCCGGAGAACCCCGAGAACCCGGTGGAGGCCAATTCTCCTCAACCCAGGACAGTAAAGCACGAGAATGGACTGCGTGTAATTGTTGCCAATGTACGCAGTCTGAGAAATAAACTTGATGAGGTACAGATGCTTGCGTCAGATACTCGCCCAGACTTGATGGCCTTTACCGAAACTTGGCTTTTTGCAGACATCATAGATTCAGAGGTTTCTATCCCCGGATACAGTCTTTGTCGAGCCGACCGCCTTGGAGGTAGGCCCGGTGGCGGCGTTATACTTTACTGGAAGGCCGAACTCAAGGCCCATTTGGTTGCAGCTACTAGTGGCGACGATGGTGATTTTGATGCCCTGTGGTGCCGTATTCATGATGGATGCAGATCCTACACTATTGGTGTTGTTTACAGAGCGCCATCGGGATCCGGAGTTCAGTTGCTCGATTCGATCAGGAAGCACTGCGCGGGAAAGGACAGTCTTATCGTGGGGGATTTTAATGCCCCTAATATCGACTGGGACCTACTTCTTTGTGGTCGTCCACCTGATTCTTTTGATGCTACCTTACTTGAGACTGTTATCGATTGTAATTTGTTTCAACACGTCACCATGCCAACCCGCATTGTTGCCGACCAAACGCCAAACATTCTGGACCTTGTGCTCACCCCAGCTCAGTCAGATGTCACGAACCTAACAGTTCTTCAACCCATCGGCAAAAGTGATCATTGTGTCGTTTCATTCCAATGGACACGTCGCCTCACGATCCATAGCCAAGGTGGTTGTCGTCGGAACTTTTGGCAAGCGGATCCTCTCCGTCTGAGAACAGCCGCAAGCGCTATGGACTGGAGTATTCCTGATCCCATTCCCCTTGATGATGCGTGGAACCTTGTGCTCTCCAAAATGACTTCTCTAATTGAGCAGGTCGTTCCTTTCTCCCGTAGAAAGTGCTTCAAGAGGGGTCCACCTTGGATTGACAGTGAATTGAGATCTCTGATAAACAGAAGACGCAAATTGTGGGATCGTTTTAGGCAATCTCAAACAGAGTTCGATTACTCTTCCTACAAGACCACCAGAAATGCTTGTGTCGCGTTGAAGCGACAGAAACGTCAGCAATATGAACTATCATTAGCAGCACATTCCAGAACGACACCCAAAATGCTTTTCTCTTATTTAAAAAGAAGTACCAGGGCTGGCAGTGGCATCCCCACCTTGTGTTCCCTTGAACATCGAAATTTACTTTACGAAGACGCTGATAAAGCCAGTCTTTTGGCCCAGCAGTACGCCTCTGTCTTCACGAAAGAAACTCCCGCCTGCGACAACACTGTGTCCAGTTTTCCTTATGAGTTGGATCAAGTAGACATTAACTTCAATTCTGTGGTTAAACTTCTCCTTGATTTAGATCCGCATTCTTCACCCGGCCCGGATGGCTTGCACCCCCTGTTCCTTAGGATTGTGGCGCAATACATCGCCCCTCCTATCTGTCAGGTTTTCCGTCTTTCTTTTGAAGCTGGGCGTCTCCCGTCGGCTTGGAAAGTGGGCATTGTAAAACCCATTTACAAAGGAGGGAACAGGCAAGATCCAGCCAACTATCGTCCTATCTGCTTAACGTCGATATTATGTAAAGTTATGGAGCGGATCTTGAAGCAGACTCTTCATCTCTACCTCGAGGAACTGAATCTCTTCTCTTGTGCACAGCATGGTTTTCGAAGGGCACGCTCATGTACCTCGAACTTACTAGTTGCTAAGGAGAAATGGGCGAAATCGCTAGATTCCGGCAAACGCTTGGATGTTGTGTTTGTGGATTTCAGCAAAGCTTTCGACAGGGTCCCGCACGAACGACTTTTGCTTAAACTCCGAGGAATCGGTATTGCCGGGAATCTTCTCTCCTGGATCTCTGATTTCCTTCGCGACCGCACGATGCAGGTGCAAGTAAACGATACATTTTCCGCCCCTGTTCTCATGACTAGTGGAGTCCCACAAGGTTCGGTCCTCGGCCCTGTGCTTTTCAACATCTTCATCAATGACTTACCGTCAACACTCCAGGCGGATTGCCTAATCTACGCCGACGACTTGAAGCTGTGGATGGAGGTATCCAGTATGGAAGATGCTGACAGGTTGCAATCGACACTCGACCTGCTACATGATTGGTCAATTAAGTGGCAGTTGCCAATGAATCATGAGAAGTGTTCAGTTCTCCCAGTTGGTGCGTCTGTCCCATTTGGAATCTACCATATTGGTGGTTCCTTGCTCAGAAACGCCACTCAGGAGAGGGATTTGGGAGTGGTACTTTCGTCTGACCTCAAATCTAATGAAGATACCAAGAAAAAGGTCGCTGCGGCCTACAGGATGTTTCACTCTATACGCAGAGCTTTCTCTCGCCTGACCCCGGGGATCTTCCGACTCCTGTTTACTTCACATGTACGCCCGCTTCTGGAATACGGGCTACCTGCCGCCTACCCTCTTACGAAATTTGAATGTGATATGATTGAAAAGGTTCAACGGCGTGGATCCAAATCTGTTGCTGAGCTGCGGGACCTGTCCTATTCTCTCCGACTCAAACAACTGAACCTCTTTTCCCTGGATTACCGTCGTCATCGCGGAGATTTGATCTTCACCCGACGTATTCTTAGAGGAGAGTTGGGGAGGGAATTACAGGAATTCTTTCATCTCAACACAGAGAGTTCAACAAGAGGCCACAGTTTGAAACTGTTCAAACCGAGGAGTGATCGAGTGCGATCCAGCCTGGCTTTATCCACTCGCGTTGTGAATGACTGGAACCGCCTTCCGGAGTCCATCGTCGTTGCCGAGACCGAGGAACGTTTCAAGCATTTATTGGACTCTCACTTTAGTTTACGGGGATCCAGCTGTTTCCAATGCAGCTTCAGTGCTTCTCTGTGGGACCTTGTTCCGCAATGACCCAGGCTATCTCCGAAACGATCGGGAAGTGACGGAGCTGACAAAGGAACTTCCTTCTGCTCTCTATCATCCAATGATCCAATGAATCAATACCTGGCCAACCAATTAACGCCCACGTATCCTGCTCTAGCCGTCCCTGTTGGGCGGTTATGTGACGTAAGAAAGAGACCAAAGTAAACTCAGAAGGTAAAACGATAAGTGGAATTAGCTAAGCAAGTAGAATACCAAGATATGTGAGTCATTAAAAAAGCACTGAAAAGTGGTGAACTGTTATGAAAAAAAGAAAGTTTCGGTGTTCATTATGTTCATTGGGGTAGTAGAGAGCAGCAGGGGAAATCCCTTGTCAGCTCCATCGCTTCCCGATCATTGCTGGGATGCTCGTCCTTGCGCAACGGGAACTCCGGAGAGGCCGTCGCACTCGTAGCTGAAGCAACACGATCCCGGCATGTTCAACAGGTGTGTGTCAAGTAGTCGTTTGAAGCAATCCTCTGTCTGTGCGTCAGTGACTGTCGGAGGTAACCGGTTCCAATTATTTACAACGCGAGTGGATAGAGCAAGAATGGACCGTACTTTGAGCCTCCGTGGCTTGAATATTTTCCATTGGTGGCCTCTAGTCGAACTCCAAATGTTGAGGTGGAAGAATTCCTGCAATTCTTTCCCTAGTTCTCCCCTGAGGATACGACGGGTAAAGATCAAGTCACCACGCCGACGGCGGTAATCCATAGAGAACATATTCAAATGCCGAAGCCGCAGGGGATACGGCTGGTCACGTAACTCGGAGACAAACTTCGATCCACGCCGTTGGACCTTTTCGATCATGTCGCGCTCAAATTTGG